AAGGTTAGCCTGTGGTGTCTTCATATCTAAAATGAAATTTTCTGTTGTTCACACAGAAAGCTGCCCAGAAACATCAGGGCCTTTGACGGCTGAAGTCCAGCCAAAACGCGGGGGCCATCATCCAAACTGGACGACACTGGGAACTCTGATGATCACAGAGGCACTTTCTCCTCGTGAGACCATCCCGAGTAAGGCACTAACACTGACCCAAACATGTGTTCACTCCTGACAGTGTCAGCCAGAGTGTGCAGCAACAATGAACATCACACCGCACAGACGAAGCCAGCGTCTCGTCGCGCGCAAACACCTCAGGCGGGCCACGAGGACGCATCACGGATAAACGCATAAGCGTTAACCAGCGCAATGCCACAAGGCTTTGGCGTCCACGAGCAATGACACGCCCGATAGTGTCTGTCACACGAGACCAGGCTCCGTTTAGCTCCAACAGCTGAGGAAGCTGCAGTACATATGCCGAGAACTGGTACGTGGCAGCTGTAACTTCCTCCACAAAAGCAGCGAAGAAGCATGGTTGCTCATGGGTTGCCCTTCTGTTTATCTCCGCGGTGGGGGCCGAGGGAACCGGCAGAGTTTTTCGCCAGTCAACGTGTGTTACAAATTATAAATCATTATCCGGACAAATGATAAAGTGCCGGGTCAACGGTCTTCTTTGTTATTTATTGAGGCTTTAAAACAAATGAATAACGAATCTATAGAATATAATAATATAATACATGGAGCCTCTCTTTTTCCTCCCTCTCTTCTGACAGCGTCAGTGTCTGTCTCAAGCAGCAGCTGATCCAGTAATGAGTGACCCGACAGTAAAAATAAACATATTTATAACTAGTTTAGGTTTGAGAGGTAATTAAAATAGCTAAGGGCGATGATCTGACTTGAAGTGTGTATTTTGCTCCGTTCACCGCTGCATCACAGCGGGAGGAGCTGCAGGTGAGCAGAGCTGCGTGTCTCCGTCCTGTCAGATTAGACTTCACTCGCGTTTATGTCCATATCGAGAGAAAGATAAATAATCTGAATTCAGTGTGCAGTTTACCTTGACGCGGGGGTGAGCAGCAGAGGTGGGGAGAGGCGGGGCTATTGCGTCATCATTATCAGAAAATGATCGTATAGGGCGCACACACGGAGCCGTTGGACCCCCCAGAGCGTTGCGTATGCCGTTCTATCCACCTTGGGACCCGTTATCGTTTCCGCAGTTGTTTACTGTCATATTCGGTCGTCGTCTTGTGGCCGAACGGTCTATATGACACTAAACAGTAACGCAAACGACCGTTTTCGTCCTCGTGGGGCCGGGGCCTCAAACACTAACTTTTAAATCTAGTAGTGCATATTTAACTGTTTGTGCCCAATCGCAGCAGTGTTTGATATTCATCAATCATCTATCATCTGCTCCCTGTGTTGACCATAGACTGGAGCTATATCTACGTTTTTATGTTGACATGAAAAGTGAGCGTGCAGACTCTGTTCATCTTAATTGAACATGTTTTTATAAATGCATAAATAAATTCATAAACTAAACATTTGAACTGGATGGGAATGTGATGCTATTACATTTATATTTAATATGATAAAAAAATGACTGCATAAGTGAAACTGTTAAAAAGCAAAGAGTTGAACTTATGCAGCAGCACTAACAATGATATTGCTTGTTTGAAGTAAATATGTCAGCACTGTTCTTGTTGTCCTTAGTTTGAATCTTAATGGTTTATTGACCTTATTGTCAACAATAACACCGGCTGCGTCGGCTAGCCTAAATCTCATGCATGTTTTCTGAACACGCTGCCCACTGTAACCTGCTCCATCTGATTTAGTCCTACACGCCTTACCGGACACAACAGAAGCCCATAGTTACAAGTTTGGTTATGGGACAGTATATACAAGTAGGTGTTGAGCTGTGTGGACCCGGCGTGACTCTTGAGTGCTGTAAAAACTCTTCCAGCTCTTGGCTGAAAGCTTTCCCTTCCTGTCCTCTGTTGTTAGGAAATGGACATTTACATTGTATTGCATGTACTGTGTTTCATATTGGTCCCTTTTCTACTTATTTTCATATTTCATATTTCCCCTTTGCAAATACTTTTTGAAAACCTCTTCCCTTCCCTCCTGGTCACTAGACTCGTCTGGAGGAGCTGCATCGCCTCTGGGACCTCCTGCTGATGAGGACCAAGGAGAAGGGCACGCGCCTCCTGCAGGCCCAGAAGCTGGTCCAGTACCTGCGTGAGTGTGAGGATGCCCTGGACTGGATCAGTGACAAGGTCAGATTGTCAATGGAAACCTTTTTTCACCACGACTAGAATGTACACATCTTTCATATATTTCCTTGTTTAGTGGCATTCTTACACATTTTCAATTCAACTCTTTGAGTATTCTTCTCTAGCTTTCTCGTGGAATAAAATAAACACTTTTTAGCAATTCTTTATTTAGAAGATAGTTTAGACAATTTCACCAGTTACAATGAAATAGACTTGCAGTTACAGGATGTAATAAGGGTTTGAAAATAAGGGAGCCGTATGAATTGAAAACCTCCTCATTTAATGTACATGTTCATGAATGGTAAAAGGGGTGTACATCTACATAGTGAGGGTCAATCCAGCACGTTTAGATTTTAACAGTCAAACTAACAAACATTACAATATTTTGGTAAGGAGACCAAGCAACCTTTTCTCAGCTCAGAAACACTGTTCTTGTATTTGCTCTTTAGCCACTTCAATGAAACATGGTTGGGGCTTGGTATTATGAGTTGAAAGCTAAAAGGGTTCTCTGAGAATAATGGTATCACCTCATTTTCCTGTTTAGTGAAAAACAGTGTTGTATGGCAACAAGAGGGAACTTTTGAATTACCATTGAATAGTAAAGAAAAGTTTGCTAACATATTTTGAATGCGAGAGCAATGACGAGGAGATCATCCAGTGAAGGCCTTTTACATTCTGTCAGAAGTGTTGGCTATGAGGCACCTTTCGGATTTGAAACAACCTTTACTTTCCTTGTAAATAATATGTAATGATTAATAACAGGGTTGCTGCTGAAAGTCCTAAAATGTATGGTATTTCTTTAACTGAAACATAAGGCCTGAATGCTAAGAACCTTTTTAATGACATTTATTTGTAAAACTTGATTATATGTATTAAAAGAAAGCTCTTCCTCTTCCACCTGTAGGAGACCATGGCCACCTCGGAGGAGCTGGGCCAGGACCTGGAGCATGTGGAACTCTTGCAGAAGAAGTTTGAGGAGTTTCAGACCGACCTGGCTGCGCATGAGGAGCGTGTTAACGAAGTGAACCAACTGGCAGCCAAGCTGATACAGGAGGCCCATCCTGAGGCGGAGCTCATTGTCCGCAAGCAGGACGAAGTGAACGCCGCCTGGCAGCGCCTGAAGGGCCTGGCCCAGCAGAGGCAGGGCCGGCTGTTCGGGGCGGCTGAGGTGCAGCGCTTCAACAGGTGAGCAATATGGGTCTGATCCAATGTGGACACTTAGGGCCCGTGTCCATACAACACCTTGTTCTGGCAGAAAGGCGCTGGGGAACGCCCGCTCCCAGCTTTTCATTAAAGAAACCTTCTCAGCGCTCTTTCACTATTTCTATGAAAACGATATGTTAACAACTTATCACCGACGTAGTACGACAAACTAGCATGGATTCATTATATGTTTGTGCTACTATACATTTGATTGTACTATGAGCTTCACTTGCTCTCACATTTTGTATGAATGAGCTTGTCACCGCTCAGTCTGACAGCCATATAGCGAGGGAGGAGGACAATAAAAGTCAAACACTCACCGGCAACAACATTTAGATGTCCTCCCGGCAGAAATCATCTAAAAACAGCCTTTTCGGTATTTGTTATGGTGGTTTTCTTCAGACCAACGTGGCCAAACACAAGCTTTCTATGTCATTTTTACAGAGAAGTCACCGGTGCTTTTCAAATGTTTTATTATGTTTTATTCGTAGCGGCTGCACAAAAAAGACAGAGCACATAAAAAAAAACTGCTGGGAGCTGCCTTTCTTTCTGGAGGTGGCTGTTTCCAACTCGGAAAAAGAGGCATATGCACACGGGCCCTTACTATCTTTGGTGATGTTCACACTCACATGGTCTTTTTGTACACTAACCTGTGTATTGTATCCCACCAACAGGGATGTGGATGAGACCATCAGCTGGATCAAGGAGAAGGAGCAGCTGATGGCCTCTGATGACTTTGGTCGTGACCTGGCCAGTGTGCAGGCTCTGCTTCGCAAACACGAGGGTCTGGAGAGAGACCTGGCTGCTCTGGAGGATAAGGCAGGACGATGCTTTACCAATGGCAACATACATACAGCACAGCCATGAAGTGATAAACCTAGTCCAAACAACTCCCCTTCTCCTTCATCAGGTCAACACACTGGGTGGAGATGCAGAGCGCCTGCAGCAGACACATCCCCACAACGCCTCCCAGATCCACCTGAAGAAGGACGAACTCATCACCAACTGGGAACAGATCCGCACTCTGGCCGCGGAGCGCCACACCCGCCTCAACGACTCCTACCGGTAACACACCACGCAGCACTGTCTGCTCTATGACATACACCACATTTACTGCATATGTTGTATTTGATCATAAAACAAAAACTGCTTCTTTGTACATAGGCAGATACTTAATCAGGATACAGAGTGCAGCCCTGTTCAACATTTCTCTGCATGTCTGCTCACCCTCTGTGGCCTTCTCTCATCAGGCTGCAGCGCTTCACTGCTGACTTCAGGGATCTGACCAGCTGGGTGACGGAGATGAAAGCTCTGATCAATGCTGACGAACTGGCCAATGACGTGGCTGGAGCTGAGGCTCTGCTCGACCGCCACCAAGAGCATAAGGTAACATTTCTGATAATACACCTCTCATCTCGGCATTCTATCACAGTTCAAGCTTTCTCCTTTTTAAAGCTGAAAACAAAACACCATGCAACATTATTTTCATTTTGTTCATGTCTCTTTTGCATCTACCAGGGAGAGATCGATGCCCATGAAGACAGTTTCAGATCCACTGATGAAGCTGGCCAAGCATTACTCGATACAGGGCACTATGCCTCTGAGGAGGTCAAGGAAAAGGTACAATTATTATGATTGAAATTTCCTTCTATTGTGTGCTATTATTACTATCTATACCGGCACTTAACTATGGTGTGTTTTACGCAGCTGGGCATCCTTTCCTCGGAGAAGGAGTCCCTGCTGGAGCTGTGGGAGGTCCGCAGGCAGCAGTATGAGCAGTGCATGGACCTGCAGCTCTTCTACAGGGACACTGAGCAAGTTGACAACTGGATGAGCAAACAAGAGGTAACCGGACACACCGACTGAAACCAAAACCCTAACCCAAGAAAGAATTTCACCTGTGTGTATTTCCTAGTTGCTGTGGAGTGCTACTTATTAAGGATGTATGTGTATTGTGTAGGCTTTCCTCCTCAATGAAGACCTGGGGGACTCCCTGGACAGTGTAGAGGCCCTGCTGAAGAAACATGAGGACTTTGAGAAATCACTCAGTGCCCAGGAAGAAAAGATCACCGTAAGTGAATCCAGTCTGTCCAATTACACAATTCACCTTGCAGCTTACAGTCTTTCAGCAAGAATATCATTCCTTCCACATGGAAGTTGTAGAATCAACAACATCTTTTACACAGTTTTCTCTGCAGTTCTAGCTTTTATGAAATATAATACTCTTTAAATATATTTTTCTTGTACATCTCCAGGCCCTGGATGAGTTTGCTACCAAACTGATCCAGAACAACCACTATGCCAAAGAGGACGTTGCTACTCGCAGAGATGCTGTAAGTACCACGGAAGCTTCATCTACTTCAGGGGTTCTCAACCTTTTTTGGGCCAGCGCCCCCCTGTCCATTATCCAGGTCTCTTACCGCCCCCCATCAAAAAAAGTAGACTTATTTTCTTCCCTGAATATTAATGTTGACTAATATTCTGTGTTATATCATTTAAAAAGCATGTCATGAATGCCAAATAATAGATTTGATTTAACTGGGCAGTTGGAATATCATTATCATTAGTTTACCAGAGAGCAGAAAAGCCATGTGAATGTGAATAAAAATGATATTTATGAGTGTTAAACAAACTCAGACAAGAGCAGAGAATACAAACAGACTGCTACGGAACAGCAGCAATTTCACACATGTCCAGTGCAGAACAAACAGTAGGCTACAAAACTGTACATTAGGCCTACAGAACTAACAGGTCGGAAAGGTGTTGCATTTCGCCAAATTGCGGGGGGGGAAGGTTAGTGTGAGCCCTGCGCTTGGTGGTTCTCCGCCAGTTTCTTCACTGCGGGTTGCAGAGAACTTAGTTTCAGTCGCAGTGCACCTGAGGCCGTCAAGTTCAAGCGATTGCGGTACTTGGACTGCATGTGGAGGACCTGGCTGAATCCCTGCTCCACGAGGT